GGGGACGGGGGTGTGATGACATGCGGGGGAGCCACATCATACGGAGCAGTGTGGGGTGCCCACACAGAATCATTAAGGTTAGAGAAAAGGTCTTTAAGATCACCAAGTCCAACCACCAACTCAACACCCCCATGCCCACTAAGCCATGTCCCCAAGTGCCACGTCTACATGTGTTTTGAACTCTTCCAGTGATGGTGACTCCACCACCTCCCTGGGCAGCCTGTTCCAATGTTTGACCACTCTCTCAGGAAAGAAATCTCTCCCAATCTCCAATCTAAACCTCCCCAGGCACAACTTGAGGCCATTTCCTCTCGTCCTATTGCTTGTTACTTGGGAGAAGAGACCAACCCGCACCTCACCACAACCCCCTCTCAGGGAGTTGCAGAGAGCGATGAGGGCTCCCCTCAGCCTCCTCTTCTCCAGACTGAACACCCCCAGTCCCCTCAGCCGCTCCTCATCAAACTTGTTCTCCAGACCCCTCACCAGCTCCGTTGTCCTTCTCTGGACACACTCCAGCACCTCAACGTCCTTCTTGTAGTGAGGGGCCCAAAACTGAACACACACAGGATCCCATGTCTTAGCCCCTATTTATTTGTACCAAAGTCTCAGGGTGCCTCAGGATAAAAGCAAGGACAGGGAAAACCCTCAGGAATAGGCCTGGTGCTCGGATAGGCCTTGGGACAGTGCCTGTGATGGAGGCCAAGACCCCCCTGCCCACCCCCTGCGCCAGGGGTCCAGAGGGGAGTGGAGCAGCCCCTCATCTGCGGTAACGGTAACGCTTGAAGTGGAACCAGAGCTGGAAGATCCCATTGGCAAACTGGCAGCGGAAGCCATGGCGGTGGGAATACTCCCACTCACGGTTGACGATCTTGAAAGCGATGTCCTCGTAGGGCGGCCCGGCGTGGAAGCGCAGGATGGCAAAGTCCTTGTTGTCCTGGCAGGCCTCCAGGAAGTACTCGGGCGTCGAGCGCTTGTCGATGAGGTCGGGGTAGAAGATGTTGAACTTGTAGCCCTGCACGATCTTGGGAGGGGGGTTGTCGAAGTCATAGTGGGTCTGGTTGTACTTGTTCCACTCGAAGCCCGTGTGCACCCGGTTGAAGAAGCGGGGCTTGCGGGGCCGGTACTTGTCAGCCCAGAGATAGGCCTTGCCCGTGAGGGGCATTTCCACGCTGAACTGCGCCTCGTCTGCGCCCATGCCCTCCTTGGCCTTACGGAAGAAGATGTCATCGGCGCTCTCGGTGGCATCACCTGTAGGGAGGAGAGGTGATGTTCAGTCCCGCAGCGCCAGCCAGGCCTGGGCTGCGGGGACACTGCTCGCAGGCGTGCAGAGGGATGGAGCAGCAGATGCGCGGCAGGGGATGCGCAGCTGGACACGCTGCCCTGCAGACTGCGGGTGGGCACCGGGCTGAGTTCTGCTGGAAACTCGACCAAAACACTCTTCCCACTTGTCCACAGCCCGAACAGCTTGGTGGTGTGGCTGGGAGTGGGGAAGGACCTGACAGAGGTACCCGCAGGGAACACCAGCCGTCTGAGCCCCATCTCCCTGCTCCTGTCTGGGCCACAGCGCCCTTTGCTGCCTGGGAACACCCCTCTGCCAGCCCAGCTCTGGATGCACGCTCCAGATCCAGCTCTTGCCCTTTTCTGAGGGCAGTGTCCCCCTCCAGCCCAGCTCCCCAAAGCACATGGTTGTGGTTTAACCTGTGCCAGGCAGGCTGCGAGCCTGGCGGGCGCAGGGCCTGCCCGAGGGCCTCGTACCTGTGACCTGGAGCTGCTGACGCAGAAGCAGCAGCCGATGCATATCCTCGTCAGCCTCCAGCACGTGGGCGTCGAAGGGCAGCTCGTTGGTGCCCAGCAGCCGGGGGCTGTATTTCCCTGCGTCGTAGTCGTCCAGGCTCTGCTGGATCAGGTCCTCCTCCATCAGCACGGCTTCCCCCTCTGCCTCCCCTTTGGCCTCTGTGTCCTGTTCAGCCTCCGGCTCCGAGGATGGCCCTGGCTGTACCACAATGCTCTCCTCTGGATCCAGCCTGCAAGGAAGAGAGAAGAGAGGACTGGGACGGGGATGGTACCCTTATTCTCTGCTCACCTGAGGTCTGTCTATGGAAGGATGGGAGCACAGTGCTACACCTTCTGTCCCGGGTGCCCCGTGGGAGAGGCCTGGATGGCTGCTCTCCCCCAGGAAAGGGCTGTGTACCTGTCGCTGGGGGAAGCCGGCTCCTGCTTGATGATGGGGGAGAGCGGGTCACTCTCGCTTCAACTTGTACAGCTTCTGGCGCAGCACGTCCTGGTGCCGCTCCCGCAGCCTGCAAAAGAAGAAATGAGCCATCAGGTCCCACCCAGCCAAACCACCTCATGCCCACATGGCCCAGAGCTGTGACACCCACCACACTGGGCAGAAATCTGCTGTGTTTTGTGGGGTTTTGGGCTGAATAACCCTCCAATTTGGTTCCCTCTTGAAGACCTCACTGTAAACATTGCTGCTGGAGAAGGAACTGAGTGCCCAACCTCTCTACCCTCTTGGGAGATCCAACCATCTCGGAAAAGGTATAAAATCCTCCACCAATGACTTTGGGTTTGTGCCTCCCCAGCTCTGCTCATAGTGAGGTCTGTGCTGCCCCTTTCCACAGCCCTGGCCAGGGGACAGTCCCTGCTCTCACCTGGCCCGAGCCATGTAAGCCTTCAGCTGCTGCAGCAGGCTCTCCCAGTACCCAATGTCAAGGTTGGGTCCTCCTGCCCGGATCTTGCTCTCGATGCCCTGGTACAGCACTTGCAGCTGGTTGTACGTCTTCCCCTTGAACACGGACTGCACATCTGAGCTGACGGAGGCGTTGACGCCATCCCGACGCTCCCCTGAACAGACAGGCAAGGGCGGCCAGTCAGTCTTGGAGCGCTCAGCCTGCCTTCACCCAGGCCCTCCTGGGCTTCATCCAACAGTGGAAGGTGAGATCCCAGCCAGGGATGGCTGCCAGATCCACAGCCTCCATCCAGCAGATCCTAGAGAACCCCTTTGAGCCTGAGTGCATGTGGCAGACCCTATGTCCTGCTTTACCCACTGCTCACACTCCCCTTGACACCCACACGAGGCTCTGCTCTCCTGCTTACCCGGTCCTCCTTTCCCAGAGGCCTCCAGTTTGCGGAGCTTGGCTATCTCATCCTCCGTGATGATGGTCATGTCCCTCCAGAAGTCCACGTTCTTCCCTTGCTCCAGCTCCATGTACACCTGCAGGCAGGAGATAAGCAGGACATCAGGCACCTGCTCTGCACCATGGGCAGGGAGGCAGAGCTGAGGGGGGAAGCCTTGAGTTGCTGCCCCTCAGCCAGCCCTGGCACAGGGGTGGCAGAGGGGGCACCTGGATGTCCTCCACCAGGTCCTCCATGTCAGAGACAGTCAGGCCGTTCAGGAAGGTGTAGGGCTCGTGCATCTCCACAGCCAGGTCATCATCCTCTGCACTGATGTACTTGGCTAGAAGGTCAATGGGTTTTGCCCTCCCATCCCGAATCCGGATCTTAGACCTGGGTGAGAAGAGAGGGACAGCGAGCAGTGCCTGCCATCCTTTGCTCCCTGGCAGGCCCGTCCCTGCGAAGGCACACACCTACCGCAGCTTGGCCTGCTGCAGGTGGAAGTTGTCCTCCTGCTCCTCCCAGGTTTTGAAGTGCTCTGCCTCTTTCTCCCGCTGCAGCATCTCCAGCTCCTGCTCACGCATCGCCTTCTCCCTCTCCCGCTCCAGGCGCAGCTGCTTCACCTGCCCGGGGCAGAGGGAGATGTGAGGCCAATGCAGTGGGGCACGCACACAGGACATGCGATGAAGGATGCTGCCATAACCCTGCTCACTGAGCTGCCTCAGCTCCTGCTATCAGCCCGAGGCTCCTGAGGAGCCAGGAGCAACGTGGAAGGACAGCCAGTGTGGCTGCGTGCTGCTCGTTGCCAGCCCTTTGGAGGACAGGGGACACAGGCACAACCGAGTGCCTCAGTGCTGTGACCTGGCACTTGTCCTCCTCAGCACCTCCTGAGCTGGACTCAACCCCTAGAGAAGAGTCTCCTCACCCTGGAATAGCAGAAGTCAGTATACTGTAGCCCCCCGACGCTAAAACCTATGGGCACACCCAGTGAGAACAGGAGAAACTCCAGGTGAGCAACTGGGAGAACTGGGCTGTCCACAGCCCAGTTTTCTGTCAGATGGTGGGAGGGAGGGGACATCTGATCCCACCTTCTGCAGCTCCAGGCGATTGTCCTCCTGGATTCGCTTGTTCCTCTCCTTCAGGTCCTTCTCATCCAGGTGGCTGATCCCTTTCTTTTCAAGCGCCTGGAATAGAGGGAAGGAAAGGAAGCCATGAAACCCAGTGACTTCTACAGCCCTGCACCAGCCAGCTAATATCACCACATCCACCCGCTTCTGCTGCTCTAGCGAGCTCTGATCCTATGGAAGGTCTGCAAATCCCTCAAATCCTGCTCCTGAAGCACCTCAGTGAAACCCAGGCTCAGCCCAGGGAGCCCACCTGATCTGGTGAGCACTACCACACCAGTAAACACTGCCCAACACTCAGCTTGCAGCTCCCAGCAGGTCTGGGTCCCCCTCCTGCACCCTGACCCACCTCTGCATCCCACACCCCTAGTTATAGACCTCAGTCTTCAGGAAAAAGGGGTTAACTGAGAGAGAGTTGTGGTGAATGGAGTTAAATCCAGTTGGCAGCCGGTCACAAGTGGTGTTCCCCAGGGCTCAAGTTACTGGGGCCAGTCTTGTTTAATATCTTTATCAATGACCTGGATGAGGGGATCGAGTGCTCCCTCAGTAAGTTTGCAGAAAACACCAAGTTGGGTGGGAGTGTTGATCTCCTTGAGGGTAGGAAGACTCTGCAGAAGGATCTGGACAGGCTGGATTGATGGGCTGAGGACCTTGTTAAACCTCACACAACTGGCAAGTGCCAGGTCCTGCACTTGGGTCACAGCAACCCCACACAATGCTACAGGCTTGGAGAGGAGTGGCTGGAGAGCTGCCCGGCAGAGAAGGACCTGGGGGTGCTGGCTGACAGACGGCTGAACATGAGCCGGCAGTATGGCCCTGTGGCCAAGAAGGCCAACGACATCCTGGCCTGCACGAGCACTAGTGTGGCCAGCAGGAGTAGGAAAGTGATCGTGCCCCTGTACTGGGCACTGGTGAGGCTGCACCTTGAATCCTGTGTTCAGAGTTGGGCCCCTCACTATAAGGACGTTGAGGTGCTGGAGCATGTCCAGAGAAGGGCAACGAAGCTGGTGAGGGGTCTGGAGCACAAGTCTGATGAGGAGCGGCTGAGGGAACTGTTCAGTCTGGAGAAGAGGAACCTACGGGGAGACCTTATCACTCCCTAAAACTACCTGAAAGGGGGTTGTGGTGAGGTGGGTGTTGGCCTCTTCTCCCAAGTAACAAGGATGAGAGGAAATGGCCTCAAGTTGCGCCAGGGGAGGTTTAGACTGGATATATGGAAAAATTTCTTCACTGAAAGAGTGGTCAAGCATTGGAACAGGCTGCCCAGGGAGGTGGTGGAGTCACCATCACTGGAGGTGTTTAAAAAGATGTGTAGATGTGACACCTGGGGACATGGTTTAGCGGGCATGGGGGCGTTGGGTTGATGGTTGGACTTGATGATCTTAAAGACCTTTTCCAACCTTAATGATTCTGTGATTCTAAAACCCCACTGAGCTTGTCAGAAACAGCCAGCTGCTGCCCTAGACGAGCACTTTGCTTTCATGTGGCTGCTTTTAGTGTTACATAGGTTCCCCCCTCAAGCAAAGGTCCCCCCGGCACACCACTGCTCTCATCCTGTTCTGTGGCAGCTACAGGGGCACAATCTCCTTTGAGCAGCCTCCTACAACACGTGGGTGCGGAGAACTCACCTTGCTCCAGATGAAGGTGCCGAGCAGGTTGTTGTCCCCAAAGGGATTATCAGTGTTGGTGTAACCCATGTACTCTTCTCCCCACCCCATCTTCTCCCGCTTCTTCCTCTCCTTGGCCTCCTTTTTGGCCAGCCGGCGAGCCCGTTTCTCCTCAGGCGTCTCCAAGGCTTTCATGAGTGCAGCCTGCTTCTTCTTCTCCTCCTTCAGCCTCAAGCGCTCCTGGAGGCTCAGCTGCTGCCCCGTCTCTTCCCTACTCCGGGAGCGTGGCGGGGAGGGAGAACTGACGGAGGACACAGAAGACTTGGAGCCATCTCTCTTCCTCTGCCGCTCTCTGCTCCGGGCTCTCCTTTTGTCTCGCTCACACTCTGAGCTCGAGCTGGAGGAGCGACCCCGGGACCGTGAGCGGTGTTTCTTCTGGCTTTTATGGTGCTGGTCCCTGGTCTTGCTTTTTTTCTTCTTCCATTTCTGTCTCTCATTGCCAGAGTTGGAGCTGGGGTGTGGGGAAAGCCGTGTATCAGTCGGGAGATGGTTACTGGCTCCATGCCGGGCAACGGGCGCTCCAGAGCAGAGAGGTGAGCGCGTTTCCCTGCTGCGGACGTGGCAAGAACCG